AATATCTTAATTTGAGTTCCGAAGATGAACGAAAGTCTTACGGGGTTGGAACAACATGAGGGTGAGTAATTACTGACAGAATTTTCATTTTGGGGTGAACTAACCCTTTAAGAGTGTGATGTGGTTGCGGTAATCAACCTGCATTTTTGTTTTCTCTCACTAGATTGGAATAGACAACAGTACTTCTGTGAAATTCAAACTGCAGGTCTTGATTTACCCAGTGCTCCAGGCGCTAGACTTCAACACAGCTTCCTATCAGCAAAACCACAATGTTCCCATCCTGTATCGCAGGCTAATGGCCCGTTTTTGGTTGGAGTACTTAGATGCCGACCCTGACATCGTGCACTCCATTATGATGAACAAACACACCGCCCAAGACCAAAGCATGCTGTCCTTGAATCGTTCAAAGCTGAACTGGACCAATCTCCTCCCCAAACGAGTGATAAAACATTATAAGCCTGTTTTTCCGCTGACTGGCTCTCCTAGTATCTTAAAGGATGTACCAGCCTTATTGGATTCCAGAGCTGCTCCCTTACTGGCGAGCGACGAGGTTTTGCGTATGGCGCCACGTGCTTACATTCTGACTGGCGAGCACGATGTTTTGAGGGATGATGGGATGATGTATGCCCGCAGGCTGGAGCTGGCAGGGGTCTCTGTCACTAATGACCATTACGAAGATGGTTTCCATGGCTGTGTGAGCTTTGCTTTCTGGCCCTTACACTTCTCTGTGGGAATAAGGGCAGTGCACAATTATATTGCTTGGATTGACGAACATTTGTAGGTATTTGACGTGAGAAGACATACATCTAAAATGCGTCTATTATTAGAGATTTCCACATTGTGATGCATTCTTTTGCAGCATGACAGATGATTTATATTGTTAGTCAAGAAACTGAAACTGTATAATGTCTTTCAAATAATGACTAACAGATTTAAGCATTTTTTTAAAACTAATGTAGAACCAAATGACAAAGGAATTTCTCTTGAATATATATATACTGACATCATTAATATCAAGTAGGTGCACAGAACGTTAAAGTATTCAAATTATACTTACATTTCGTCTTTACTACAACCTATGCATTCACCAAACAGAAGTCATATAGCCTATCACCATACATTTCATAACATTTGTGCTAGACTTTCACTCCAAAGACCTGCAATTAAATGAGTTGTATTTCTACTGTGAAACACTGAGTGAATAAAGTAGGAACATGTATTGAAGCTGCAATAAAATATTCTGCCTATAGTTGCATTAGTTATTCAAGAAAGCACAACATTATAGCATTTCAAATATTCTCATATTATTGAATAACGATGAGAAAAACTACCTTTATGTTTGCAGTTTTATGTTACTTTTATAAGCAGTTTGTTGGAAGTAGTAAATATATGTCGTAGTTCTATGCCTTTTGGATAATTGTGCTAATCAAGGTCCTTCTAACTTCTACATTTATAAGGAAAAACATTCAAATATGTTGGGTATAAGGATAATTTCATAATTTAAATATTAAAGCTGCAGTCCGCAGTTTTTCCTCTTTGTCACCATCTCTGTTCGAAATCTGCGGAATTATCAACTTTGTGTGAGTTGTAACTCGACACGGCACAGCGCGGATGAACACAATGTTTGAGGAGAGTGTGAGGCTGTCAGTCACCGCGGCGGTGTGGATACTGGCATTCAGAATCACAGATTATTCTTTTTGGAAGTATGACCAACATAATAATTTTCACTGGAAAATGTCATCTGAACTAGTAAGTAACATCCACTTTTGTTCTGGGTCTGACATTGCAGTAATCGCGCTGATTAAATCTAAAAATCGCTTATCATATCACGCAAAACAGTGCAAATTATACTTTGTTCTCAAATTGTTAATGTTAACAACGTCAGCATTGCGTGACTACATGTAATGTCCTTCCGATATCTATCCGTTTTCGCATGGGTCCGGTTGCAGTCTCTTTTTTTCTGTAAGTTAGCCACTCCGAAGTCCGAACTAAGTCTTTTGCATTTTACAACGGGTGAATCTCTAGTTGTCACTGGTGATTGTCGTTTGAACCTTTCTGGATCCGCGATCAAATTGATGTTTAATTATATCAAGTGCTGTGAGAAAAGGCTATAAATCTCCACCTCCAGCATCCTCACACGCAACATAGCCTACTAGCCGAGACTCTTCTTTATGTGTACAGATGTGACATAGGCCCTGTCCCAAATGGAACCCTAAGCACTCGCGGTCTTCCTCTGAGTCCGCACTTTCGCGACGTAACGCCGCTTTGAATGTCGGGAAGAAGTCTGCTGTGGAGTCCGCATCAGCGTGGGCTCGGCAAAAGTGCGCATCAAGGGCGCAAATCGACCGCAGAGGGGGCGCTCGCGAGCACCCTTCTGAGATCTAAAAATGACAAATGGGACACACTGCGGTCTCACGGACTTAACGGACACGCGCACGCGGCAGCCATTGTAAAGGCCAATTTATACTTCTGCGTCGGGTGCGCGCAGTAGGTACGGCGTAGCATACGCACAGACGCGTACCATACGCCGTACCCTTTGCCGTAACCTGACGCGCACCTCCTCAAAAATGTAACTACACGTCGCGACGACGCGGAGCGCAAGATCTGTGATTGGTCGGCTGCACCGCCCGCCATTTTTAAATTCTAAGTAGGCTACAGCGAAACTGTTAAAAAAACAAACAAAAAAATTACCTTTTCCACCTCGATAAGCTCCAACTCCAACATGATCTGCTCTCTTTCAGTCGACATTGCTTGTAGTAACCTAAACTCAAAACAGCCGCGAGGAATCTTCTTCTTCTTGCCGCGAGGAATCTAAACACAGTGGAACATTAAAACCCTCCGCCGCCAACTAGCGTTTCGGCGCTGTACTGCAGAGCAACGCAGACCTAAACGCAGAAGTAATGCTCATGACGGCGTCGCCTACGTGCGTAGCGTACGCCGTACACTACGGCGTACACTCGACGCAGAATTATAAATTGGCCTTAAGTCCACAAGACCGAAAGTGCACATGAAGTGTGCCATTTGGGACAGGGCCAATATGATTCAATATAGCCTACTAGCCGAGACTCCTCCTTTATGTGTACAGATGTGACGTAATGATTCAATATAGCCTACTAGCCGAGACTCTTCTTTATGTGTACAGATGTGACATAATGATTCAATATAGCCTACTAGCCGAGACTCTTCTTTATGTGTACAGATGTGACGTAATGATTCAATATAGCCTACTAGCCGAGACTCTTCTTTATGTGTACAGATGTGACGTAATGATTCAATATAGCCTACTAGCCGAGACTCTTCTTTATGTGTACAGATGTGACATAATGATTCAATATAGCCTACTAGCCGAGACTCTTCTTTATGTGTACAGATGTGACATAATGATTCAATATAGCCTACTAGCCGAGACTCCTTCTTTATGTGTACAGATGTGACGTAATGACGCAAAGACATGCTCGGATTTCCCGCGGAAATCCACCAGTACCACTGAAATTAAAAACATTATTACAACATTTACAAGCTTACCGTTTTGAATCGAACTAAGGCAAGCAGATAGTTTTGAACACTGGCTGGTTATGTATTTACTCAAATATGTATTTTGGATAATTTTTAACCCCACAAAGGCTACAGACTGCAGCTTTAAACTGGAAAGCTATTAATATATAGTGACAATGTTGCCCTCTAGCGGCTGAGATGGTGACGTACATAAAAACTAGGCTTAAACAAAATAGAAAATAATTTGTGCTGCATTATACAAAACTTACATAACACATGACACAACACACCGTTTTGAAAAACAAGAAATAAAAAACTATAATTTATTTTTGTTGCTTTCTGCAATTTTCATTATTTCATTGTGGCAGTGAATAAACCAGCAATAATAAGAGGTTCTCCAGTAATTCAAAAAAAAAAAAATCAAGAAACTAAAATCTGAGAGTTCAAGTAATGACCATTGAAAAGCAAAAGGGAGGAATAAAACGACGCTACCAAACTATAAGGTTTGAAAATACAACACAATATCCAACTAAGATCCAAGACTTAACTAAGAAGATTTTCAATATTTGGTCAAAGCCCTACTGATAGTGTTTTCAAGCATATTTAAAGATACAGATGAAGCACTGCCTACCCTGCTTCATTATATAAGACATGAAACGGTGCAGTGTAACAGTAAAGATGTGTTCACTGACCTTTCTCAACACATACTTCTAGTTTTGGTCCCTAAAACAGGAATCACAACACAACTGCAAGACAAACACAGCTAATCAGGATCAGAGTAAAGAGGCATCAATGGGTGCTAAAAGGTGCTCAGGCATACATTTAAACAACAGAACATTTTGAAATACTCGTTTACAGTTTGCATCAAAACAAATATGATGCCTTCGAGTGGGGAAAGGGTTTATAAGATGGTTCTCTCTCATTTTGATTCTCATATTGCTTTTAAAATATCATCACTGCCATGAATACATTCTCAGGTAACACACTAAACACTCTTACATTCACTTGTTTCAGTAATCTTTGTAGATATTTTACTGATGACACAGCCAGCTCTGTCTGAACTAACAATGAACAATAGTGAGGATAAAATGAATCAGCAACTCTCAAAATTGGAGGAACATTTCTGTCATGACATATTTGTGCTTCATCATCCTTATAAAACCGCTGACAAACGTGGAATTTGAACATCTTTCTTTCAAATCTTGAACATGACGAATAAAAAGTGACATAGCACTACTTCCTGTTCAAAAAAATAAGGAACCATCTACTGAACCAAAAAATTTAACAATTCAATATCCTGAAGGTCCTATAAATGAGAGTCAAAATGACACAGGAACTGATCACTAACAGCAACCAGAAAAGGTGTCTAAATCCATTAACACTATTGGGACTAAGTGCTACATTTTCCACCATAAGTAAATTATTTTACATTACAGATAGCTGTGTATAATTTTACCTTCAATGAATGTTTAGATGCAATATATTCATATTTATATATATATATTCAAATATTCAAAAATATAAATTTGAAAAAAAAGTCACCACAGAATGTAAACAAATGTTAATCATTGAATAGCTTTGGGAGAGTTTATAATGAGCCATACGTGTTAGCAGACAAATGTATCACAAATACCTGTGAAATTCATTCATCAAAGGTTTGGGTCATCGAACATTTAAAGAAAAAAAGCAGATGTTTATCAGATCCTTAGTTCATTGTGACTACAACAGTCATGCAGAAGCATACAGTTCCTTCAAAATAAAAACAAAACATGCCATAAAGCTCAGCTTCACAGTAACTTTCTATTACAGCAGTGTGTGCGTGTGTTTGATGGTAGAGGTTGAACATGGAAAAACCACAGACAAGAGTTTTGGCAAACAATTTCTGTTCGAATCAACCACGGCTAAGAGAGATATCAGTAGCAGGACAGCGATCAACAGTCAAAATGCATCTCGAGAGCATCTTCAAAACTCTGGTCCTCATCGGCGCTGGACGTGAGAAAAGAGGCCATGGGCGAGCCCGCGGACAGGCTGAGGACCCCAGCAGCGTTCGTGCCAGAGTTTCTGACCGAAATACTGGTGAGGTTGATGCCGAGCGTGAGCCTGGTCTGCTCCAGGGCTTTTTCAGGCACGGCAAAAGCCTCCAGCTTCTTCTCCCCGTTGGCCATGTACGAGTTCTGGCAGCCCCTGCAGATGCAGTCCAAACAGGCCTTACGGTTGGAGTAGCAGGGGCACCTTTGACCCCTGCAGGTAAGAACACTTGGATTCTGGGTGGCTCGTCCACACTTGCAGCCTTTTTTCTCTTGTGTCTTTTTGTATACGACTTTAGGAGGCTGGCCTGGCAGCATGCTAGCCGAGTGCAGTCTGTCCTTCGCCTTGCCCTTCGCCTTCGGGACGGCCACTTTAGACTTGACCTGAACCTTCTTATTAGCCAGGTCTGTGTTTATCTGGATATTTTTAGTTGAATCCAGCATGGCCTTGTTGACCTTCAAAACGCCTCCATTAGTGACCACGACAACCGGCGGGGAGGGAGCTTTCGGTTCAAACGCTGTTTTCGACGGAGCTGTGGCCGCTACCGATGGCCCCTGGATGAGGCTGGTGATGGGCAGAGGTTGGAGCATCTCGCGGTCACTCTCAGAGCGAGAGCGCTTTCGGCTCAGGCGCACTTTTCTGTGGGCTGCGGCGAGGCACGTCAGGCCCGTCTGAGGCTGTGGAGGGTGTCCTGGCGTAAGGGCGCCGCTGGTTTGTGAGTGCTGACATAGCTCTGCTGCTGATTTAGTCAGTTCACAAGACACCTCCTTGCTCGCAATGTCAGATTTAAGGTCCTCTAGGATGCTTATGTTCTCCGCACTGAGGTGCACGGATTCAGCGCTTTCGTCTTGACTAACTTTGCACTTTACAGCGTTAACAGTGACAGTATTCATGTGTAGTTCTGAGTTAGATCTCAGAGGTTCATCTGCACTGACAGGCTCGGGGGTCTCTAGCTCAGCTGGGATCTGCTCAGAGGGTTTGATGTCAGCAGAGTTTTCTGAGTCTGTCTCCGTTTTGAGATGAGGAACATGTGCAGTGTCTTTGACAGAACTAAACTCTTCTTGTTCCTGCTTCACCCCCAACACCTCTTCCAGCATCTTCTTGACCTCAGTGTAACCTTTGACCCCCAAGGCACTCTGCTCTGTCATGACGCACACCGAGACACACTCGCAGAGACTCCTGTAGCAGTCGATCAGAATCTGGAGCTGTTTATTCTCCTCAAATTGCTCATAGTCTTTACACCAGCTGCAGGATGGCTTCAATAGCATTTTCTTGCCTTTACAACCCTTGCAAACACAGTGCTGGCAGGAGGAATCTTTTGGAGCAAGCGGCTCCTGAAGCAAATTTCCTAGATGAAAAGAAAACAATTAAGCATAACAAAATAACATCATGCAATATTCCGTTCTATAGAGTGCAACAGATGGGTTATGCAAGTACAAATCCCATTCATTTTCTACACAGGGAAATTAACTTTTTTAATGATAACATATAAACCATTAAAGACAGACCTGGGAGCTACAAGGTTGTTAATCGATGGTAAATGCTTTTGTTGAAGCCATTAGACCGCATTATTTCAAACATATATTTTAAGGGCTGGAATATTCATTGTGAAAAACTGCATCCCCCATGATGATTCTGCAAAGAAATCTCCACCAATCAAGCAAATTGTTTCAAAAGAACGCTTTAGCACCCTCCAACACCAATGAAGCACCATGAATGACATGACAGTCAGTCTCCCTATGCCCTGAAACTACTTCAAATAGTTGTATGTATATTTTGCAATATTCGTTGCATAAATCTCTCTATATATATAATTCCATGAATCACTGTGAATGATATAATTGATTTAAAAACAATGGAGATATACTCCATGTACACAGTATAGGCCTGTATATACACTCACCGGCCACTTTATTAGGTACCCCATGCTAGTAACGGGTTGGACCCCCTTTTGCCTTCAGAACTGCCTCAATTCTTCGTGGCATAGATTCAACAAGGTGCTGGAAGCATTCCTCAGGGAGTTTGGTCCATATTGACATGATGGCATCACACAGTTGCCGCAGATTTGTCGGCTGCACATCCATGATGCGAATCTCCCGTTCCACCACATCCCAAAGATGCTCTATTGGGTTGAGATCTGGTGACTGTGGAGGCCATTTTAGTACAGTGAACTCATTGTCATGTTCAAGAAACCAATTTGAAATGATTAGAGCTTTGTGACATGGTGGAAGTAGCCATCAGAGGATGGGTACATGGTGGCCATAAAGGGATGGACATGGTCAGAAACAATGCTCAGGTAGGCCGTGGCATTTAAACGATGCCCAATTGGCACTAAGGGGCCTAAAGTGTGCCAGGAAAACATCCCCCACACCATTACACCACCACCACCAGCCTGCACAGTGGTAACAAGGCATGATGGTTCCATGTTCTCATTCTGTTTACGCCAAATTCTGACTCTAACATCTGAATGTCTCAACAGAAATCGAGACTCATCAGACCAGGCAACATTTTTCCAGTCTTCAACTGTTCAATTTTGGTGAGCTCTTGCAAATTGTAGCCTCTTTTTCCTATTTGTAGTGGAGATGAGTGGTACCCGGTGGAGTCTTCTGCTGTTGTAGCTCATCCGCCTCAAGGTTGTGCGTGTTGTGGCTTCACAAATGCTTTGCTGCATACCTCGGTTGTAACGAGTGGTTATTTCAGTCACTGTTGCCCTTCTATCAGCTCGAACCAGTCTGGCCATTCTCCTCTGACCTCTGGCATCAACAAGGCATTTCCACCCACAGAACTGCCGCTCACTGGATGTTTTTTCTTTTTCGGACCATTCTCTGTAAACCCTAGAGATGGTTGTGCGTGAAAATCCCAGTAGATTAGCAGTTTCTGAAATACTCAGACCAGCCCTTCTGGCACCAACAATCATGCCACGTTCAAAGTCACTCAAATCACCTTTCTTCCCCATACTGATGCTCGGTTTGAACTGCAGGAGATTGTCTTGACCATGTCTACATGCCTAAATGCACTGAGTTGCCACCATGTGATTGGCTGCTTAGAAATTAAGTGTTAACGAGCAGTTGGACAGGTGTACCTAATAAAGTGGCCGGTGAGTGTATATATATATATATATATATATATATATATATATATATATATATATATATGATTCTTTAATTGTAGTCTTATATTTCTCCATTGTTTTTAATTTGATTATATCATTCGCAGTGATTCATGGGATTTATATATTTTTCCTTCATTAAAGCAGTAAAGTATACAGTCTTGAAACTTTTTTGCTTTAAATCAAAGTTTGTAATGTTGTGATTCACTTTGTCGCAGGTTGGTTTGGTTCATGACCTATAACTCTTTAAAATAACTTTTTAGAGTTATATAAATAAATGGGAAAATAAATGGGACATTTATAGCAGTCCAAGTGGTGCTCACTCCAGAGCCAAATGACGTCCAGCTCCCCATTCTGGACGTCATGGGTGGAGCTTGAACAAGTACAGCCCCACCCCTGTGGATCTAATGGGTGGAGGGATAGTTATAGAGCTGGTAAGTTCCGCCCATCCGTAAAACTCCAAGTGGACCTCTAGGTTGAAAAAGCGTCAATGCAAGTGAATGAGAGAAAATAATTATTTTCTGATCCCGTTTGAATTGTGCCATGAATGTGAACATATGTTGTCTGTGAATTTTTTATATAATTTCTCATGTAACGAGTTTGACAGTATATTGTATGATTCTTTGGCTAGCAGTTGTGGAATAGACATAACGAGAAAGACTACACGTCGCATATGTGACGTCACCGCATAACACATTTTCCCTCCACAAATCACGGTGCGATAATCTAAGGAATTAGATCGAGATGCCTGTGTGTTTTGTACCCAAATGTCACCATTCAAACAAAGGCATGTTTAGCGGGATCCGTGTGCTAGTGGTGGTGACGTATATCAAAAGCGTCGAAAGCAGCGAAGAGTTGTAACTTAGTCCACAAAGTGCTCTCACACAAAGTCTAACCGTATGAAAATTCTACCCGCTAAATTGTAGCATTCTTTACACGAAAATTTATATAAAAAATTCACAGACAACAACATATGTTCACATTCATTGCAAAATTCAAACGGGGTTAGAAAATAATTATTTTCTCTCATTCACTTGCATTGACGATTTTTCAACCTAGAGGTCCAGCGCGGTAAGCGGAAGGGGCGGGACTTACCAGCTCTATTGGTAGGGTCAGAGCCATATAGAGTGAGAGTTGCGACAACTCCATTGACTCCAATGGAACGTTTTTTTTTACAGCAATGGCGGTTCGCGGAGCCTCTCAATAGTTCCCGGAAGTAGCAGCAGCGCGGTAGAGTTACAGCAGAACAGACCGTTTGTGATGCACTTTTAAAAGGTAAGACGTTTAAAGAATAAGATTGTATATTATCAGTACATCTGAATCAAATTAACTTGTAACTTTAACTGTATTAAAGCATGCTAGTTGATTATTGCTCTCTAAATTAGTAGTTTTAGGGGACGTTATCAGGTAAAATAAAGGTCATTGGATAAAGTTAGTACCGCATAACAAACCACGAACAGCATATTAATGTTTAAACCCGTTCTATTAATGCACGTTTATCCTTTGTTGTATAATAAGAGGGAAATACTTCTAAACAGAGGTTAAATATAACATTGGGGATTGTGAAAGTTGTAATTGATAAAATGAGAATATCGGTTTCATTCCATATTAAATGTGCAATAACGGGGAAAAATCCTTATTTTAGATTTCATATTTGAGTAAGGAAAAACGTATGGTTGGCGTTTATTCATTGTGTTTCTGTTGACTATTACCTTTCTATATTATGATTTAGCTCAGCTGATTTGTATTGATGGGAAAGGGAGATGGAAGTTTATAAGTAAGATTAAAAAACATGCTTAAAACGGCAGCAAGCCGTGTTCTAGATCAAATCACACTAGGCTAAATGGGGTATTATAAATACCATAACTGTATTATATACTAACTCCTATATATAATTTATCCCGTTTTTGTTTCCGTTATCTCTTTCAACACAAGAAGCACAAAGAGGATTCGGTGGATCCTGAAGAGTCCTGCACTGACGCTGTACCCTCATCAATCTCAGCTGCTTGGATTTTGCAAGACTTTACTTGCTCCCTATTTTTAATAAACATTAAACTTCCCAGTGTTGGTCTTTGTGGAAAAAGTGCAGATACACCTAAGTATGATTAGCACAAAAAATGTTTAGTTCTATTTAGATTGCTCCTGACTTGAGCATATTTTCTGTGTCTGACAACATAGAGGAAAGGCCAGACAACATGCTTGACGTGCAGTTTATTAGACATTTATAAATCCCATTGTGCTAATTCAGTGCAAAAGTGTATATATGTCATTGACAAATAAACAAATTACATCAGTTTTGAAAAGATTAAAAAAACATTTATTTGTTTATTTGTCAATGACCTCTTTTCAAAACTGATGTAATGTATATTTTTGTGTCATGAACAATGTATTTGAACAAGTTTCAGTTGTGAACATTTCTAAGTGTTTAAATTCACCTGAAAGTGTACCAACCTACCCATAACTTTAAAGCAATTACCAGTATTTGATAGAGATCTACAAGGATCATTATGGCTCCTCTGGACAATGCATTATCATGCACACTGCAATTACCATAATAAGAGAGCCATGTTTGCAGTTGTGCCCCCCTGACATACAAATTGTTAGACAAAAGGTTTTCAATTATCAGCTATAAATCTACTGAAATGTATAAAATTTGTTTATATGAAAGGTTAAAATGATGCCATAGAATTTCATTTTTATGATTAAAACACCATTTAAATGAGTATTTTAGTCTGTTCATTTGTGCGGACAGTTACACAACCTGACATTTTGGGGGGGGGTTTAAGATAACAAAACATAAAATATGTATTATCTATTCTAAATGTACTAAAAATTAATTTAAACTAAATAGGTTTTATAGATTAAAGTGATGTATGTCATGAATTTATCAAATTATGTTAAGGAAATAATGTACTTGGACACTTAGAAAATAATGTATGTGTGTGTGTATAATCATGTTTTGTTTTAAAATGAAATATATTATGTATTCATTTATATAGTAATAAGTGCATAAGCATTGTAAACATTACGATGAATGCAATGTTACATTTTACTTGTTTGCAATGGCTTTTTAAGACAATCACCTGTTTCCTGGAAGTCTCCTGTCCTTGTGAAACCATAGTGAACATTACATGATAACCCTTAAATAACATACAAGTTTAAGAACACAAAAATACTTCAAAACAACTGCAAAACGGTCTTTAACCAAGGTAAAGTTAGCCAGAAAATATGTTAACAAAGGCAGGCAACACTGGTTGACCACAATAAACATTACATATCAGCAGATTTTTATCTTTTAAAGACAATATTGCTGTAACTACATACACATACTACATCCAAATGTCAATGTATTATATACATATTGTAAACCAACGCATTTATTGACTACAAACTACCAAAAATCACAGTTCAGCTCTCTACCTCCATCGATTTGAATTGGCGCCGAAGCACTTCCTGGAACTATCTGAGGTCTCCGCGAATCACGTGACAACCAAGCATTTAGAACTTCCGTAACTCTCGCAACTCTCTCTCTATATGGCTCTGGGTAGGGTGAGAGGGAGCTGGACATCCAGAGGGGGAGCTGGACTTCACGCTCCACCCATGGCTCTGCAGTGAGCAGCCTCTCTGAAAAAAAGCCCTGAAAGCGTTCCTGGATGCTGATCGGTTGATACAGCTTTCCATCATATCACTGCCCAGAACCCACAGAAGATCTCTTTTTATTGCGTAACAACGTTGTTGTGCCCATATAGATATGTATATATCTATGATTATATAGATCCACGGACTATACGTTCTAGAGGAAGAACGCGACTCAATTTGATTAATAAAATAACGTGTTTCAAATACTTTTATTAAGTAGTAACCAATAACAATAAAATCAATAAACTCGAGGCTGTGCTGTATATTCTGAATCATTATTTGAATTATTAACTGCTACTTCGCTGCCCGTGATGCAACGCCATTTAGCCGTGACTATATTCAAAACATGCTTTTTTGCTTAGTTTTAAAGGTAACGTTAAGTTACTCACCACACACCAGGCAGGATAGAGAGTCTCTAAAGAAAGGCAGGACGTTGAACAGCCCTCCGTATGTCTCCGGATCCTTCGGGTCGCACTGCAGAAGAGAGCGACACGCCGACACGTACAGCGCGGTGGCGTTTACCGGGTTCATCTCAGCGACTTCAGTCAATAGCAGGACAAGGGGAGCGGGCTGATCAGCTACTGAGAGCGACTGATGAACTGACTCCCGAAGCAGAATAACTGGGAGAACACAATCAACCAGGCTTGACCCAACGCCTCAAACAAAGAGTGTAATTTGACATGACTCGCAAGCAGACGAGCGGCTTTCTGTCGTCTGCTTGTTAACATGTCAGTGTTTAGAGGATCCTCCAGAGACGGCCAGCCCGGCTGCTGTAACGTTAAACGAAGTCTGCACAGACTATAGTCTGCCTTCCATTAGTGTCAGACCCGGATTAACGTCTCCTCAATATGAAGAGCGCTGCACTTTTGTGATAAAGTACACAGAGATGAAGGACTGGGCGATAAACAGCATTTTAGAGAGAAGCACAACAGGCCAGAGGTGTACAGTCGGCGACACGAGCTCTGCGAATAATCCGTCCACAAATAACAATTGGAAAAACAGAAAGAAAAAAATCCGTTGCACAAAAAGTATAATCCTTGAAATTATCAACCACAGCGGTTATTTACAGTTTAACTGAACAAACCACACAGTCCGCTTGCTTGCTAGTTCGCTAGCTAGCTAATACTGACTGCACTTTTCTTCGGGTTGGTGAATAAGATAGCTTTTCTCTCTCTAACGAATGCGATAGACTCCCGTTTGAGCGATTTGTTCATATAGTATTCAAATGAATTCCCTACTCTGCAGAATATTCCCATACATTAGCCCGTGCTAGAGCCAGTTGCTTATTATTCCTCTGTTAACTTTTGCATCCTGAGAGGAACAATACCAAACAAGAGTAAAAGAGCGCTTGGAATTGAACACGACCTCCAGTAAGTACTGCCCCCTAGTGTGAGACTGTATAAATCACACGCTACTACGAGGCTCTGTGTTTTTTTATTTTATTATTATAGAAGGATTACAGTGGATAAATACATTACACAAAAGCACTTAAAAAACAACAAACTGGAGGTAGAGCAAAGCAACAATTAAACATATTGATGTTGTCAATTTCCTTTATTTGTTATTTGCTAGTTCTGCATGTACGCCTCTCACTTTTTAGAGTATCAATGTGTCTTTTGGACTACTTACACTAAAAAGAAAAAAAAAGTTTCTTTAACATCCTATGTAACAGATCTAAATGACATCCCTATTGAAGATCTTCTTCAACAGTAGTGTTTAATGAGGAATTATAATTATAAAATCTTCAAAGGTTTTAATGGTTTTACAGCAGAATTTTGCTTTTATTTTTTGGTAAAGAACGATTCACTGATTAAGAGATATAATATTATATTATAATATTAAATAGATATTTACATATAGAGGGAGGTGTCCTTTACCTTTCACTTTTAAAATGCAGTAAATCCAGCCTTTATTTTTTTATTTTTCAAACGCATTTAGGAATCTAACGTTACATTTGTTCAAAGGCGATTGGGTAGCAGTTGGGAACTGTAGTTTATCATTGTTGACATTAATATTGACTACATCTATCAAGTTCGTCTAAAAACGCACACCTCTGCAGTGATTGGCTCATTCACTCACGCCCTCTTAGCTAACCGAGTAGTAATTGGCTCTGAAAAGTAAGTGATTGTTGCTGATTGGCTAAGACACCGATAGGGGTTTCCGACAGCTTGAGCTTCTGTGTCCTCAGTGTAGCCTATGAGTGTAGCAGTGATGGCGACCTACACGTTAATGCGAAGTAGTCTGGGACTGTTACATGGCCTAAAATGTTATTTTAAAAATGTAGGTCAGATTCCGTACGGCGCAGTTGCTGGGGCAATTACCCAATCGAAAGTACTGCAAAATGCAAGATGCTATTCTGTCAGTCATCTGTCTGTGCAGGAGAGAATTGAGAAGAAGCGAAATGCAGCCCTTATAGGAGGAGGGCAGCTGAGGATAGCTGCACAACACAAAAGGGTAAGTTATGAAAACCTACTGCAGAATGAATGCAGTTGACATAAGTGAAAGCACAACAATCCGAGAAGAGCTGCGTAATGCCTGTGCCCAGGGTAAACTGACAGCGAGAGAGAGAGTGGAGCTCTTGCTGGACCAGGACTCGTTCGTGGAGTATGACATGTTTGTGGAGCATCGCTGTTCTGACTTCGGCATGGAGGCAGATCAGAATAAGGTATGTCACCTCCTCCTCGCAGGTCAAAGAAACTACATACTGAATGCAGAAATATTCCTATTTTTCCATGTCATAAGTTATGAAATAACAACAGCGTTCAATGTCAATATCAGCTGAGATATGAGGGCCTTTAATATAGTCTTGTACTAAGTATATTGACTTGGACAAAGTGGGGTTTACGTGTTAATACATTTCTAATAATTATAATACAGTAAGGAGAAGAGGTTTGGTGACAGCTCAATTTTCATGAAGTAAGAAAATAATACTGAATTTTTAGTTACGATTTGAGGTCTATAACAGCACAGTAAATGTTACCATCACCCATTGTTATTTTTAACACTTGTAGATGAGGGACAATAATGACACATGATTTGCCTCACCCTGTCTTTGTTTTCAGTACCCAGGAGACAGTGTAGTGACCGGACAGGGAAGAATCAATGGAAGACTGGTCTATGTTTTCAGCCAGGTATGATACTAGCTTTTGACCATAGGTTTGCAGCATTAAAATGTTTTATTTGAATATCGGGTATCTCCATTCTCTTGTCATGAGTGAAATGCTCCTCTGTCCACAGGACTTCACCGTGTTCGGAGGTAGTTTATCAGGAGCTCATGCTCAGAAGATCTGCAAGGTGAGACTGGTCAGGTTTGGATCTGACTGAAGTCTTAAAAAAATGCATAGGCACAATTCTGTCAAACAGTAAAATCACTGCAATTTAATTCCTAGATCATGGACCAGGCTATGATGGTTGGAGCCCCAGTAATCGGTCTCAATGACTCTGGTGGAGCCCGCATTCAGGAAGGCGTCGAGTCCCTTGCAGGATATGCTGACATATTCTTGGTAAACTTGGGAACATTTTTGATACACTACCATTCAAAAGTTTGGGCTTGATCATATTTTTTATTTTTAATGTTCTCTTATGCTCACCTAGGCTGCATTTATTTGATCAAAAATACAGTAAAACAGGGGAAAAAAAAATATTTATTTTCATATTTTAAAATGTAATATATTCCTGTGAAGGCGAAGCTGAATTTTCAGCTTCATTACTCCAGTCTTCAGTGTCACATGATCCTTCAGAAATCATTCTAATATGATGATTTTGCTGCTCAAGAAACATTTCTTATTATTATCAGTGTCAAAAACAGCTGCTTAATATTTTAGTTTTTCAGGTTTCTTTGATGAATAGAAAGTTCAAAAGAACAGTGTTTATTTAAAATAGTTTTTGTTTGTAGCAGTTTAATGCATCCTTGCTGAATAAAAGTATTAATTAAAATCTTTATCTGACCCCAAACGTTTGAATGGTAGCGGACATATATTCCAGGACTAACTGCACAATGGTATTTGTTCTTCAGCGGAATGTGATGGCCTCAGGTGTAGTTCCTCAGATCTCTCTCGTCATGGGCCCGTGTGCAGGTGGGGCCGTGTACTCGCCTGCTCTGACAGACTTTACCTTCATGGTAAAGGTAAGAAAAGTAAAGTTTTGAGTGTAAATGCATATTGCATTTGAATTCAGATTTCTTGTGTATATTTTAATTTTAGAATCAGGTCCCTGCTGGTACACCAAGTTTTCATGAAAAACTTTAACCTGTGTTTGCAGGACACCTCCTACCTTTTTATCACAGGCCCAGATGTGGTGAAATCTGTAACAAACGAGGATGTTACCCAGGAAGAGCTGGGTGGAGCAAAAACCCATACCGCTGTGTCGGGTAGGTCTATCGATTTAACATATAGGTACATCAGAATGTGTTTTATCTGACTAAAGATTATCTTTGCTTTCTTGTAATATAAAGAGCTTTTTGCTTTCTTTCAGGCGTTGCTCATCGGGCCTTTGAGAATGACGTTGATGCCCTTCTGAACTTGCGAGACTTTTTCAACTTTCTCCCACTGAGCAACAAAGATCCAGCTCCAGTCATTGAGTGCCATGATCCTCGGTGAGAAACTGTTTTTGTACTTTTTCTTTTCTTTCTTTATCAGTCAACTTATCTTGACCAGCTTTTTCAGTCACATGGAGTCTGCTGCTATCATGTCAATTTGTTTTCTACAGCGACCGGCTGGTTCCTGGTTTGGACACTGTTGTTCCTTTTGAAACCACAAAAGCTTATGACATGCTGGACATCGTTCATGGTGTATGTGCATCTTTAGTGAACAAACAATTCAAAAAGTCATGCAAAAACTCATCAGGCAGTGCTTATGATTGTCATTTCACTCTTACAGATAGTAGATGAGAGAGAATTCTTTGAGATTATGCCCAACTACGCCAAAAATATTGTGGTGGGATTTGCCAGGATGAATGGTCGGACTGTAGGCATAGTGGGAAACCAGCCAAAAGTGGCATCTGGTGGGTTATTATTTTATTTTGTACTTTTATTTTATTTTATACTTTTATTCACACATTAAAGCTTCAGTCCGTAACTTTTGGGTTAAAAATTATCCAAAATAAATGTTTGAGTAAGTACATAACCAGCCAGTGTTCAAAACTATCTGCTTGCCTTAGCTCGATTCAAAGCGGTAGCTTGTAATAATGTTTTTAATTCCAGTGGTACTGGTGGATTTCCGCGGGAGATTCGAGCATGTCTTTGCGTCATTAGGTCACATCTGTACACATAAAGAAGGAGTCTCGGCTAGTAGGCTATAATGCGTGTGAGGATGTTGGAGGTGGAGATTTATAGCCTTTTCTCACAGCACTTGATATAATTAAACTTATCAATTTGATGGCGGATCCAGAAAGGTTCAAACGACAATCACCAGTGACAACAGATTCACCCGTTGTAAAATGACTTCGTTCGGACTTCGGAGTGGCTACAGAAAAAAAGAGACTGCAACCGGACCCATGCGAAAACAAGGATAAATGTCTGAAGGGCATTAAATGTAGTCACGCAATGCTGACGTTGTTAACATTAACAATTTGAGAACAAAGTATAATTTACACGGTTTGACGTGATATGATAAGCGATTGTTCGATTTAATCAGCGCGATTACTGCAATGCTTTTTTTTCCCTTAGTTGGTTAGAACAAAAGTGGATGTTACTTACCAGTAAAAATTATTATGTTGGTCACACTTCCAAAAAGTAGAATCTGTGATTCTGAATGACAGTATCCACACCGGCGCGGTGACTGACAGCCGCACATTCTCCTCAAAACATTGGATTCATCCGCGCCGAGGCACAACCCACGTAAAGTTGATAATTCCGCGAATAACTGCAATTGCAGATTTCGAACAGAGTTGGCGACAAAGAGGAAAAACTACGGACTGCAGCTTTAAATTGATCAAAAGTAAAGACTTGCATTGTTACAAAAATTATATTTGAAACAAAATGCTGTTCTTTTCAACTTTCAATTCATCAAAGAATCCTAAAAAAATGACCATGAAGTAGCACAATTGTTTTCAACAAATGTTTCTTGAGCAGCAAATCAGCATATTAGAATGATTTCTGAAAGATTATGTGACACTGAAGACTGGAGTAATGATGCTGAAAATTCAGCTTTGCCATTACAGGAATAAATTACATTTTAAATTGTATTACAAGAGAAAGCAGTTATATTGAAGTTGTAATAATATTTCACAATATTAATGTTTTACTACATTTTCGATCAAAAAAATGCAGCCTTGGTGAGCATTAGAGACTTCTTTTAAAACGTCTGAACAGTAGGGGGTATTACATGTAAAATATTCTTACATATTATATAAACATACATTTCACATTTTTTGTTATGTCCTTTTTTCTTGTATATTTTAGGCTGTTTGGACATAAATTCATCTGTTAAAGGGGCTCGCTTTGTTCGTTTCTGTGACGCCTTCAACATTCCCATCATCACATTTGTGGATGTACCTGGATTCCTGCCAGGTGTCTGGAGACTTTTTATTATCCTAACCTTAACTTTGCTGGGGGTTTTTTTCAAAATCATTTTAGCCTAAATTGCCAACATGCATTTCCCTTTTTAAATAAAAAAATCTGACAGAAACGTTCTGTGTTTCCACAGGCACAGCTCAAGAGTACGGAGGCATCATCAGACACGGAGCCAAACTGCTGTATGCTTTCGCCGAGGCCACAGTTCCAAAAATCACTGTCATCACTAGGAAGGTAGGAGGCAGAATGATGAGTGTGCGTGTGGATGGTTCTAACTAGCTTGTCTGCTGAATCCTGTGTGTCCTGTCTTCAGGCATATGGAGGTGCTTATGATGTGATGAGTTCCAAACATTTGAGAGGAGACGTCAACTATGCCTGGCCATCCGCTGAGGTCGCAGTGATGGGTGCAAAGGTAAAACTGAAGACTAATGAGCTGAAACAAGTGATATGGCCAATGCACTTGCATAATAAATATGCATTGTGGGTGAATTGTGGGGCTTTCTAGTGCATTTATGAGCTTAAAGCCAAACCTACCATTGAGCTGCATTTAAATCTCAGGATGGCTAAATATTTTGTGGGCTAATATATATATATATATATATATATATATTTATTTATTTATTTATGTACCGGTAGATAAATTGGCCCCAAATAAATATATTTGTCCTAGAAGCCTGATTTAAGAAATTCTTTATCCTGTAATCAGTGCAGAGGAGTATCAGATGGACATGAGAGCGTTCAGAGAGCTTCAGCCCAGATATACACTTACAGCAGCAATGATCACTATGCTTGGCTCTCTTTAGTGATTAAGTTGCTTGTGAATGTCCCTTCTACTCTTTTCATTTCTGAGCTGGAGGCTCAAGCTGTGAGTTGAGTAACAGGTGCTGCTGACTCAGAGTTTGGATAGTACAGATCATATCACATGTTGACTGTTTAAAGTACAAACTAACAAACTATAAATATTTCTGCTGGGTGTCCATTAGTGACGCTAAAGCAACAATGATGCTCATTGATATTCCTATAATGAATTAGCCATATAATATATTAGTTATATAGTTATAGTATATAGTAAAAAAAAGGTTATATATATATATATATATATGTATATATATATATATGTGTGTGGTTTTATATAGCTTATATATATAGTTTGGGGCCAGTAAGATTTTTTTTATTTTTATTTTTAAGAATGCATTAAACTGATAAAAAGTGACAGTAAAGACATGTATGTTACAACATATTTCTATTTCAAATGAATTGAAAATTATAATTAATTGAGACATATGATCAGTGGTATTGATATCTTATCAATATTTTGCTCACTGAATCTACACTACTAGTCAAAAGCTTGGAATAAAGATTTTATATGCTTTTAAAAATTATCTTTGATCAAAATACAGTAAAACAGTAATTGTGAAATATTAACATTTCTATTCATAAAAATCCACAAAAACTGTTTTTAACATTGATAAGAAATTGTTTTTGTGCAACAAATCCGCATATTAGAATCATTACTGAAGGATCATGTGACACTGACAAATTCAGCTTTGAATAAATTACATTTTGGAAATATATTACAACAGAAAACAGTTGTTTTAAATTGTAATTTTTCACAGCATTTACTGTTTTTACTGCATTTTTGATCATTTATTTTTGATAAATGCCACCTTGGTGAGCATATGACATTTAAATTTTTCACAAAAAAAACTCTTCCTGATGCAGTGTATACCATTTGTTTTAATATGACAATTTTGAAAGCGGTTTTGGTCATGAAATTACACAAACAAAATCGCAATCAGTCAGTATAAATGTAGGTATTTCTTCGGCTCCAAATTTGACAATTTAATTCTTTAAAGATTTGCAATAACTGGACAAATCATGAAAATAGATTGAAAGTGTGAAACCCTGTATTTATTTCATTTTTAAGGGTGCAGTTCAGATCATCTTCAGAGGAAAGGAGAATCAAGCCAAGGCTGAAGCTGAATATGTGGAGAAGTTTGCCAATCCCTTCCCCGCCGCTGTTAGAGGTGCACAGAACATTTATATTATCAACAGACACAATATACATTCATCTTCTTCAGTGCCGTTGAGGCTTGTCATCACAGCTCTTACCCTACACTGCAATACAGATGTGCTCGGTTCTGCTGCTACATGTGTGTATAACATTGAATGTGTTTCACAGGCTTTGTGGATGATATCATTCAGCCCTCAACCACACGCAAGAGGATCTGTAGAGATCTGGAGGTGCTCGCCAGCAAGAAACAGACCAACCCCTGGAAAAAACATGCTAACATACCCTTATAAACTTCTTCTCAACACTAATTTTATAGCATTTCACAACTGTGGTAGACTGGAGAGAATATCATGTTTTTACACATGGTGCCTTATTCCCACTCGTATGCATTATGCCGTTATTTAAACATTCTCAAGTCAATAAAACACTCCCACGGTTCATGATTACATATTTATTTATTTTCTGAAAAAGTGAGTTTTCCATAAGTTCACTGAAGAAAAGTTTTAGAACGGTTTTCCATTAAAAGGGAAAGTGGTACATAATTTCTAGGTTGTACAAAAGAAAACCATTTTATATTGAAAATGTACAATTTACAGGTACACTAGCAAAACTAACCGGGGCTCAGGGTGGGGAGTAATGACGATCATGGGAAACTCGAGTTCTTGACAGAATAACATTTCACTTTATGAGAGCACAGGACCATAGAGCACTTAAACGGAGGCAATACTTGAATGGGCCTCGCTCAACACACGGCACAGCAGCATCTGCTGTTTGATCCGGACAGATGAAAACCCTGCCGTATAGATATTTCACACAAATAAACCTCACCTAAATCTACTGGAAATAAAATACTGACCATTCAAATGTTTCTGAAAGCCAAAATACACAACATGTAACGCCCCCTTCAGGACAACTGTGTCACACACAGAGATGTTTTGGCTCTGACACTCTTTTCTCACCTTCCTTTGTCATTTACCATAATTATGACTATTGCAAACTGTTAAGTGTTATTTATATGTAAATTAGACCGATTGAAGATTGACCAATGTTTAAAACTACTTTTTTTTGGTGGAAGAATCTGTTCGTTGACCTGATATTAAAAGCGACTTCATAATCTAACTGTACAGGGCATCTACATAGTAGGATGGATAAACACAAATATGTACATCTTGAACATATGGGACCGTACATTCTTACATGATAGATCTGTAACATGATTTAAATCCCATCCAGTGCGATTCAGATGAGCTGATGAAGAACCTGTTTGACAGAACAATTCACCATATGTGACCTGATTGGACTGTTAAAATAATCTGTGGATGAATAAAAGCTTCTCTGTGGCATCTGATAAAAGAGGGTTTGTGGAGAGTTCGCTCCAGAATTACTCAGCCTTATCACCAGAGCTTCCGCTCCTTTGTGAACATCTCTTCAGCCCTTGCTTTAATCAATTCAGAAGCTCTTTTTCCAGCTGTTGTGGCATCTCAGAACATGGGCATCGTGAAACCCTGAGAAAAAAATAAAAATAATAATCAGGTGATAATTGGGACTGCATGATTTAGGGAAAATTTTCGATAAATTGTGATTGTCTGTAGGGCTGTACGATTTGGCAAAATTTTGTGATTATATCAGTATGACTATATTATAATTCTAATAAATATTATTATTACTAAATAATACTAAAATAAATATTACCATTGTAATATTTTGCTGTAAAATATAATATGTGTGGAGCAGCATTAACTGCGATACGGGGTGATTCCGATACATAGAAAACATCGGATCATGGGAAACATGCTGTGCCATGCTGAAACATGCATCATATATATTTATTTAATTGAATTGAAGCCTTTGCGATTTGATAATCACACTAAGACATAATGCAATGTTTGGTTTAATCTTGAATAATAATATATTTATATAATGATTCGAAAGCTTTAGCGAATAGCGACTCATTCTTACCGACTCGTCCTCAATCATGGCTGCTGAGTCAAAGAAGTCCGGTCTCAGCTCGGCTCTCTCCCGCCTGTTCCTGGATGGAGGCTGCACAGGATTTAAGATAATGTGTAATTAAATATAGAAACAAAATTCTTAATCACAAGTATTCTGAAACATTTAGTAGTATCATCTATAAGTGCTGGGCAATGTTGTAACTACACCATTATGGTGGAAAGAGAGTCTTTATTCACTGACGGTCATTTGTAAGCAAAATACAAATTGCTAATTTCTCATGCTACAGAAGATTTACCGGTGCCTAATTTTTGGAGGGCTCTTAGAAGTGTGAAGCGGACTTAAAAATGTCCCTCAGGATAGTCTGTGTGTGTCATTGTGGTGTCATCAGCTTGAACCTTACCAGATCAATGACCATGGTGTCCTCAAATTCCTCACTCATGTCTTCCAGCTGTCCTCGAGACGACATCATGACATCCTCAAAGATGGGCTCTGCGTCGTCCTCCATGAGACCACGTCTAGAGTAGAGAAATCAAAGTAACATTTACTACAGCACTTTCCTCCTTTGTTTAACATCCCACACACGTTTCACCACGTACACAGTCTGTCGTACTCCTCCGCTACGGGCCTTCATGTAGTTCATGGCTGTGCGTTCCTTCCTGTTGACCTCCTCCATCTTCTGCTGGCCAAGCCAGGACATCTGCATCTGAGGACTAATCGAGAGGAAACCCACATAATACTGTGCACATACTAGTTGACATAAATCAACCAGTGTTGTTATTGTAAACTAAAACTATTATTAAAAAAAATATTAATTGGAATAAAATATAAATATTAGAGGAAAAACAAACAAAAATGAGAAACATTGCTTTGGCAGCTACTAAAATGACTAAAATTTGAATAAAAATAAAGCTAAATAGAAATATTAATAAAATAATAAAAATGAAAAAGCACATAACAAAATGACAAACTTACACTAAAATGTAAAACTCTTAAAACTAAAAAAATCTAAATAAAAGTTAAATCAAAAAATATAATACATACATAGTATATAAATAATACTAAAATAACACTAAAAACAACATTAAAATTCACAGCATGGCCAAAATGGTGTTCATGGTTTTGAAATAAAATGGATGCGTTGCTTAAGTGTTTGCCTTATTTTAACCATGAAGTGTATTTTTTAGAATGGTCACTTACTTATGAATATAGTCGGATTCAGACCCGGGCTCAGAGTCCTGGTCAGGGAGGAGCTCAGCAGCTTGCCGAGGGTTCTCTCGGAGCACGGTGGAGGTGAGCTGGGGTGTCTGCAGGGCTCCAGGGGTCTGTAGGGTGTCATTCCTCATCATCCAAGAGCCCTCCACACTCTCCTCTGCAGAACCACGACAACACACACAAAACAGCCCATGACTGCTTACTTTTAGGCATCTTAGTCAACTGAACCAACCCACTGTTCTCCCGTCTTATATTAGTATGATTACATCTATTGGCATCCTCACCCTCGATGCGTTTCTTGTGCAGGGGCAGACGGCCCTTCTTGCTTCGTATGGATCCAGCTTTGCTGCTGCTGCCGCTGGTAATGGACATGCGATCTTCATCTCCGCCCGTCAACAGAGAGTTCCTGTAGGAGATGAGCGGCAGCCAGATGTCCTCCCGTCTCTCCATCATCTGCTCTGTCATGAACTTTTCAAGATACGAGTGCCTGTATAGTCAAAGAGAAAACACAATGGCACCAACATATATAATATATATTAATATAATAAAAAAACTATTATCATATATAAAAACATCTATAATGTGCAAGCATATATACATTTACATGAAATTCTCTCTCTCTCTATATATATATATATATATATATACAGAGTATATACTGTATATATTAGTGCTGTCAATCGATTACAAAACACTTGAATGGTTTAATAGCACTTGAATGAATGATAGCATGATCATATACTGTAGCGCAGTCAAATACACACACACACACACACACATTTCTCTTTTATTATTTATATAATTAATGAGTGCCTGTACAGGCAAAGAGAGAACACAGAAAAAACGACATATATAATTAAAATAATAAAATTATAGTTTTATAAGTTTTTCCTTTTTAATACATTATCATACAATGTTTCTATTCAGGTTCTCCAAGGTTCCATCCAATGAAAACTATAACTTCTGTCAACTTTACTCAGTGAACGATTATATGTTCTAATGCACAGTCAGTCTCTATTACTAAAACAAGGCAGCGCTCAAGCATATAAGCATAAAAAAAAAAAGTGCTCTTTAGACCAACTTACACTGTTTTCTTGTCTTGGCGAAGTAGTTTGGAGGAAAATTCACAGAGAACCTCAAGGAAGGCCAGATTCGGAGGGGGATACTCCGGTCCTTTAGGATTCTGATACTTAAAGGCGAACTCAATCCCATCTCTGAATACAGCAAAAATATTTGTGAGAGGTACAATAAGGAAGAGGTCCATTTGGTGTTTGATGAGTAATAATTCAAACATGAAACAGAAGTTACTTGTGCAGTGTGGCCACAGCTTCTCTGGTTTTGATCTGGTCCAAGCCAAAGGTGAGGGCAAAGCGACGAGCCAATTCCTTAATGCCGCTCACATGAGATGAGGTCCTGTCTAAGTTAGGCCCCTGATCCTGGATCAGCTCATTAAAGAGCTGAAGAACAGAAATAACAACAGGAGTATTACAATTATCATATGATTAAAATGATAATGCGAATATCATGTTCATCTTATGCCAGAATATCTCTCAAAATGGAGGCTGTCATCTCACCTGCTGTAAGCTCAGGATGAGTGTCTTGGCACACAGTATTTTATCCGTCTGTCTGGTCTTACTTAGAGTCTCCTTGATGATGTCTCCATAATCGTTGTAGTACTGCAAGTAGTTTACAAGTAGTAAAAGCAGAATGTATGTTGGCGTAACAGTTTAAGTAATATATCTGTTCGCTGGAGCAGAGAACAGCAGGCACTTTCACCTCCTTTTCTATGGGAGGTGAGCAGCGTGGGGGGATTGTGGTTAACAGAACAGATATTAACAGATGTTCAACTTAACACTAGAACACTAGACAGCTGCAAATCAGTACAATAAGTTGAATTAAAATTGTGAATGCTTTCATTGTGGTTGGACAAAAGTATATGTATACTTTGGCGATGCAGAAATAAAAGACAACCCCACAAGATTTCTTCCACTCCAGTGGACACGTCAGGTAAGGTGATGACTGGCTGTCTTACCTTCATGTAGTGTTTGAAGATATCTGCAGCAGCTGGCATGTCTACTATATCATAAATGATCAGCTTGCTGAAGGCAGCTAGAAGGTTCCTCCTCTTGTGTAAGGCCTCAATCTTGTTAGCTTCATCCTCCTCGTCACCCTCTATGTAAAAAACATGAAAACACATCAGCTAGACTTCAAAGCATTAATGAAAAGCCTCTTACAGACTCTTACATCTGCACGGATATCTCATTGGATACATCCATCTCATTCACTGGGTCTCATTCACAAACTATACGCATGTACGTGCACACGTGCAAATGTTTTCCAACAAACACATATTATAATTTTAATTTTTAATTCACCACATCATTAATACTGTCTGTAGGCTCACCTATGCTCTGATTCTCATCATCCTGGTCAATAAACACATGGTCTAGGATGAAGTTGAGCAGCTCGTTCTGTAGGGTGCTGTCTGGATTGAAGACCAGAGGTTGCAGACCCTCTCTGGCCCCTGTGGTGAGCTGGTGACTGAAGATCATCAGTAGGTCGCATAACAGCATGAATGCCTGGAAGGAAGAAATGGGAAGGTGAATGACTCTTGCACAGGCACATCGGTCCTGAATGAAAGGATGAAGGTCTTTAGCTTACCTGCTCTTTAACCGGTGTGTTAACATTTGATAAGCACTGCTGGCACACAGCTAGAAAAGATTTAACAACCCTCCGTAATGCTAGAAGATCATCCTGAAATCAAATCGGTTGAAAGTTGCAATAATCAGTTTGTATTCAAAACCACCTGCTAATTAATAAGGCATTAAATAGATGCCTCACAGACCTTGGATGGAGATCCCTCTGTGATTTTCACCAGCTGCCACAGCATAGAGTAATGAGAACACTGAAGAGCCTGCACTGCTATCTACAAACCACACAATGAAACACACTTAGCTTCAGGACACAACATGATCTACATGAAATCTGCATTAGTCACCTGAAAATCTTCAATAACTGGGTGAATCTCATGGAGAGAGAGAAAAAAAATCTAACATCAAATGGGGAAAAAAATTAGATAGATAGATAGATAGATAGATAGATAGATAGATAGATAAGATAGATAAGATAGATAAGATAGATAGATAGATAGATAGATAGATAGATAGATAGATAGATAGATAGATAGATAGATAGATAGATAGATCTATCTTAATGTGCAATTTCCATACTCTAATAAAAGCATCCATTTTTAAGATTGTTTTGTAAAATTTAGTAAATAACAGGCAACAAAAACTTCCACAATGTATAAATACTAAACACTATGGGTCTCATTCATGAAACATTCGTAAATATACGAGTAAATATGCGAGTGATTTGCGCGTAAAGAGACCTTCCCGAAAACTCTTCTCCTGATTCACAAATACTTCGTAAACGTCAGATGTGATAGTGAAATGTGTGTGTGTGTTAATGAATTCCAATCAGTCGTAAATGGGATGCGCGTGCACGTTCATTCTCAATTACCATAAATCCCGCCCATTAAATTCGACTAACAACAATATATGGGCATGATGTGGGCATGATGCGCATATATATGGGCATGATGCGCATTCATGTCCAATATGTGGACATGAATGCGAATGAAAAAAAACATTCTCAGATGCAGAAATTGAAGTTTTATTATCAGAAGTCCATTCAAAACGCCACATTTTATTTTCAAGCGTACATAGTGGCGTATCGGGTCCTAAAAAAAAGGAAGTTTGGCAGCATATTACAGATGCAGTTAATGGAGTTTCATCTGTTAATCGAACATTCCCAGAAGTGAGAAGAAAATGGTTCGACATTAAGCTTGAGAGCAAAAAATGAATTAGTTCACTTCGGAAAAATAGTAGCTATTCAAACTGGAGAAGGACCACCATCGCAGATGCTATTACTGGCTCTCATAATAAGAAAAAACGTATGTAATTACTATATATAATATTTTTTCAAAATGCTTTGCAAATATGTACCCGATTAAGGTGAATTAAAATGCAGCCTTATTAACGAGCAAAACGTTCGGGTGTTAAGCGCACTATTTACGCGTGGCTGGGAGCAGGTGTAGATTTCTTGTGTACCAACTAACATTTGGAAAATACGAACATTTTAATGAATCCGAAAATTTACGCCAGAACCACTTTACACACGATTTACACAAAAATTCGTTCTGCTCGTGTTTCATGAATGAGACCCAATGTATAGATACTTAATTAAATAAATGAATGCTGCTTTTATTACAGTACTGAGAACTGTTATGAAACTAATGTCATAATCCAATTAATTGTGTTGAAATGTAACATGTTCTTGACAGGCTTTATGAGATTCCTCCATCTCATATCTGCAACAGACGCACCTGCTCTGGCATAGAGCCCTGCTCTATTCCCGTCCTTAGCAACCTGTAGCAGTTCCCAAACAAATCCCATCTGGTCAAGTCATGAGCACTGATGGAGAGATGAGAAGGACACATTGCTTGTTCATTAGCACTCAATGACTCCAAGTGGACAGAAGCAACTTTCTTTTGCACAGTAATTCAACAATACAGCAGCGTACTTGTGAAAGGCTGTGAGTCTCTTAAGAGTGGAGAGAACGTTGTAGATGTCGTCGTCATCCGCCTCTTCCCCCTGTAAATGAGGCAGACATTCAGAAATGTTTGATCAGCGACCCTGACACAAATCTCAGAATCATACACGGTCGTTCACCAACTCTACTTCAGCTAATAACAGCCTCATAGTTTTTAAAAGAGGGAATGATTTTTAATTTTTTTTTTAAACAAAAGACTGTGCTGTTAAAGTGTTAGTTCACCCAAAAAATGAGAATTCTGTCATTAATTACTCACCCTCATGTCACTCCAAACCCGTAAGACCTTTGTTCATCTTCGGAACACAAATTAAGATATTTTTGATGATATCCGAGAGCTTTCTGACCCCCCCATTGACTGCAACGTTATTACCACTTTCAAGGCCCAGAAAGGTAGTAAAGACATCGTTAAAATAGTCCTTGTGACTACAGTGGTTCAACCTCAAGGCCTGTTCACACCGGGACGAATTTCGCACGCGATATTCGCCGACGTTTAACGCCTTGTGACTAAACAAAGGTTGCCAATGTGAGTGTGCACACCGACACGAAAAACGCCACGCGTAAAAGCGTCATTTTTTTAAAAACGCCTCGGTTTCGTTTTTTTAGTTTAGACAACTAAAAACTATTCAACCAATGAGATTGGCGCTTTTGCTCACGTGTCTGGAGCTTCTGAAGTTACAGTAAAACACAACTTGGGGGCGCTCAAACACAAAACGGTCTTGCCGAGCACACATACATAACGGTGAAGAAGATATACGCCAAGTAGCGTCTACACTGCCGAGGAGAAATATGACGAGGAAGATGCAAGGCAAGATGAATGTAGAGCTGCTGGTCTCGTTGGTGTACATAAAGAACTATATGACAAACGCGACAGCGACTACAAAAATCTTGATAAAAGAGAATGTTATGGAGTGGTGTTGCAGAGCAAATGGGCGCCATCTAATGTCAGGGAATGAATTTGCATGTTCACTCGGCTCATCGTCAGCGAAAATCGCTTGGGTGTGAACACAAAAAACGCATTGAAAAACGCTGCCGAATAACGCGCGCCGATATTCGTCCCGGTGTGTACGAGCCTTTAAAGTTATGAAGCAACGAGAATACTTTTTGTGTGCGGGTTTGGAGTGATACGAGGGTGAGTAATTAATGACAGAAATTTCATTTTTGGGTGAACTAATCCTTTAACCACCAAAAACGGCACAAATAAACATCAAAAAGCCGTAGCCAAGTTTTCTGAAGCTATACATGTTCAAATTCGAGTTGATTGGTTTTGTGAACAAATTTGTGAACTGGATCATAACCAGCTCAAAAAAGCTGTTGAGTTCAACTTCCTGAATTACTCATTTGGTTGCAGTGAATAATGAAAAAAATTCAGTCCGTTCCTCACACAAAGCTATCATATTATTTATGACACATTTTTGATGCACTTTTCAGCTGTCATCACTACACTATGAACCACTGTTGTATGGAAAAGAGCTGCAATTTGAAAAAATAACAGCATAAAAGTTTGGGATGGCATGAGGCTGATTAAATAACGTCAGATTTGTCATTTTTCTGATTATCTTTTGTAGTTGAATTAATACTTTAACAATCTCTCTAAATCTGTCCATCACCTCCACAGAGCCCTCACCGCCTGCAGCAGCTCCTCCACCGAGTGGTTGAAGCGGTCGGTTAGTTCATCGATGAGCTGACTGTGGGCGATGTCAACGCGGTTCATGATGGTGTACTCCTCACTGCACAGGATGCTGTAGGTCTTACTGCAGGCCTCCAGCACCTCCGTATCCGTGTGCTTCTCCACCACAAACTTGATCTGCTTGAGCAATGCGTCCAAGTGCTGGAACATTCAAATTCAGTCTATCAGCTGTAACGACTGAGACAAATCAGACACAATTGTTTGTTATAGTTTGCAAGTTATGTTTGGAGCTCACTCTGTGATCTGTGGTCCCATCCCCCAACAGGGGCAAGATAGGTCTTAGTTACCATGACCACGATCAGATAAGTTGGTTTTATTGCTGTTAAAAATGTGGTCACATGTTCAAGACAGAGACGATGGGGAAGACAGAAACAGCCTTTAAAACAGACTTCCCTGTGTTCATTTATCGATGAAGGATCTATAAATGAGCATGCATCCCAGAACATTTTTGTGAATGATTTACTGTCTTGTATTTTATGTATATTAAGTATTTGATACTACGGTATGTATTTTATTATACAACCAACGGTCATTGTAACCTCACCCACACCATGTTTGGTCTCTTTAAATTGGTACTTTGAAGATCCAAATGACTGTGTACATAACACCAACATATTAGTATTACAAGAATCTTTCATTGTGTCTTCATCAGCAACCAATCCAGCTGCACATGCAAATGAGCACGCTTGAAACAAAAGATCCATGAATCAAATTCTCCCCCTTGGAAACTCCACCTTTCTTATTGGTCGAGCCAGCCCTGAAAGTCTGGGACCTTTCTCAGGCTTTAAATTGCACCTCCAGAAGCCCTTCCCTCTCGTTTCCTGCTTCTCAACTGCTGGTTGATTTCTGTGGGGACCCCCCACCGGGGCCCAAGCAAGCTGTGACCACAGCCTGCTATGCTTTTACTCTCCCAAAAGAGTCAGACTGTAGTTTCTTCAATCCAACTCAGAGGAAAACTGCAACTTTGCCATTTACTGAATGGGCAACCATCAACTCTTCTGACTTCCTCACTGCTTGGTTGCCTTCGTGGCCTCTCCGGCCCAGGACCGGCAGGTCACAAGCTGCATGGGCCCAGCCATGTGCTCATGGAAAGAGAGAAAACTTTCAACCAGAACAGAGTCGAACTAACCAGGCAAGTTCATCATATCTTCTTCATCCAACGGAGAAGAATATGATTGCAACTTCAATGTTTGACACTCTCGGAGCCATCAACATCCTTTTTCAAGAACTTCAAGAATTGTTTCCACTGCAAATACCATGCAAGTATCAATTTAATGAGGTGCTCTGAAAATGATAAGCTGATGGTTCTTTTCATTGTTAAATGGATCTTTCCCATAGTTCCATTTCCTGCTTCCGATTCCATTCTTTCACTCACCCTTTTACCCATGTATGCATATGTTTAGATTAGTTATGTTTGTGATTTAGTTAATAAAACTTGTGCACAATACATATTTGGTTCTGATTCTCTGCTTGAAACTAAGTTTACTTTACGATTTAGATTTTGACTACAGGCTCTTAATACTGTACAGTAAGAAAGACATTTCTTAGAATTAATAAACAATTGACGCTGAGGACGAACAGGTGGGTTGATTGTAATATTAATTTTACTACATTCAGTTAATTATATTAACGGATCCAAATATTCATAATCAATTATAACCAATTATTATTGATTATTCATATTTTGTAGAGTTAATTCGCTACACAGCTAACGGGGAATGAAATACCAGCGTTCATTGAGATCCAGCTGGAGAAACTGCTTACCTTCTCCATTCTCCCAGCACTGTACACATCCAGGTCAAAGTATTGCGGGATCTGTAGGAGGTTGGCTACTTTCTCTGCATCTGTCTGGTACTGTGAGTGGAAAACGTGTTTCTCAGCATACGAATGAGCCATTTATGATGTATGAGAGCATGAAAACAGAAGACTTTTCATCCTACTTTTGAGAGTAACATGGGAAAAGCCATGATGAAGTGCTCCGTTAATTTGTTTTTGTCATCAATCTGCATCTTCCTTTCCTTCGCAGTCAAGACCTATACAACAAGACAGACTAAACTAAACACTGATGGCAAAAATGGTTTTATAATAAAATGCCTGTGAGATAAAGGTCTTACCCTTTTCCCAGTCCCTCTCCCGACAGGAGGATGGGCCTCAGCAGCCTGACGAATAGTACAGACAGTCAGCTCGATCAGAGAACCCTCCTGCCTGTCTGACAACACTGAAGACAAACAGAGAATCAGAGAGATAGAGCCGTGCTTATGGTGCTTATGGTTACTACAATTTAAAATAACTTTTTTATATTATATTTCAAAATATTGTGATGGCAAAGCTGAATTTTCAGCTCCAGTCGTCAGTGTCACATGATCCTTCAGAAATCATTCTAATATGCTGATTTAGTGTTTAAGAAACATTTATTATTATCAATGTCAAAAACAGTTGTGCTGCTATAATATTTTTGACACTTTTTTTAAGGATTCTATGATGAACAGCAAGTTCAATTTAATGCATCATTGCTGAATAAAAGTATTAATTTCTTTTTTTTTAAAAGGCTACCAAACAGAGAACATTTACTGCCTAGTTAAAAAAGATACAGTTCATGAAACATGTAGCGTAGCATGTTTTCACACTACATAGTGTAAGTCGTCACAATGAAACGTGTCATTATCTGTAAAGCCTATCATTTATAGGACGTTTAAATTTAATCAGTGAACCAATTATGTAACATAAAACAAATAATGACAAGTTTTGAACTGTCTTCAAAACCAACAAACACTTAGACTTTCATCTGAAAACACAAAGGTTTTTGGGAAGAAGCCTTTTGTGACAACTAGCCCCACTCTCTACTATGATCTATTATTTGCGGCAGTGAAACCCCTCTCAGGGTGACCGTACCCTCCTCGCCCTGCACTGGCTCCTCCAGCAGCAGTTCGGTCATGCACTCCCAGTCCTTCAACAGCTCCTGAGAGCTCTCCCACAAACTGTCCACTAGATAGGCAGCATGTTCATGCAGCTGGAAACACAAAGCACACGTACACCGTGTGAGCTCTGACACAAACACAAGAGATTCTGACCAATAAAAACTAAACTAGCTGGATTCTAGTGACACCTCAGGAGACAAATATTGTGTTAACCTATCATAATTCATGATAAGCAGCTGATCATCAGCTGTGGCCTTACCTCACTCTCCAGAAAGAAGAGCACTAGCATGCGAATGAGGTTTCCGTTTGGGCTGCTCCTGCCCCTGCGTTTAGCCAGAGCCTCCTCCGCCTGAGGATCATGTCTGCTGAACAACCTAAACATGACGTAGCATAGAAAGAGGACTCAAAAAAATTAATAAAATTACTTTGAAAATAAAATAATACATAAACATTCAATTTAAAATGAAATAAAATAAAACATTAAACAAATAAATAATACGACAAAAGCCAAGTTTATTTTACAGAGAAAGTAGGCTATGCAAGCTGGCTCACTTTCGATGTAGAAAATCCCCAGCAGCCACTGCCACAGGCCTGTGAGCGGAGTACACCAGATGATAGACATTCTCACAGTCTTCATTGGACAGCGCGTCCTCGCTACCCCTGAACAAATGAAGAACATTGCATGGAGGAAAGCATCCAGACTGCAGTTATGTTCAGCATTTGATATCATCTTGAGCTTCACTCACTGAAGGATAAGTGTGACCAGTCTAATGGCTTCCACAGCCACATCATACTCTTTATCCAGCGTCATAGACACGATACGATCCTGTGAAGAGATTGTATCGTCATAAAGACATTCAGAGTATTGAAATACCTCTCCTGAACTGCGTTCTTACCTTGAAGCGGTTTGTGAAGAGCTCGAGTTTAGGAAACAGTTCACGGTTTGTGTAGAGGTTTTGTAAGGCTTTCAAACACTTCAAGCGTACTTCACCTTGCTTGAAATGGAGAATGCTGATGTTAATACACGGAAAATGAAGTATTACAGGGGCAAAAGTGCTGCTCTTGGTGTATTCGGATATGGCGTACCCGGTCGTGTAACGTCCAGCCCACGTACTTCAGGTAGCTGTCATTCAGGAAGGCATCGCTGTACATTTTCATCCACACACCGATCTCCTCTATACAAATCGCTCTGATTTCAGCAATTGCATCTCTGCCAGTCACACAGAAGATGAGATCAGACACTCACAGCTACATGAACGCTATTATTGTGAGAAGATACAACTTTGATCACCTATAACGATGAACAAAGATTCCCTTGAAGATCGAGTTCATCATGTTTTCGATTTCATCTTGGTTTTCTTGAAGCTGGTGAGAAATTTTGTTCATATGAGTAAATGATCAGCAGTGACCGTATATTGACACTATCTGACTTTTCACATTTTCTGTCTTCATTTTGTGGGGAAATCTGGTGACAGCCAGGTATTTAAATTCTGTGGAAGATCTCTGTGTGTTGGATTTCATGTGGACCTGGTTATAATCTTAACAGTCTACAAAAAAATAATAAGGGTTTATAAATGAAAAGACAGGAGAGCTTAAGGTGTAATACCTCTTTCCTCTTATGGAGTAGGAGTTCAAGCTTCTCGGTGGCTCTCTTTCCCGCCATTTTGTTGCGTTCAGCTTCGTACTGTCTCTGTGTGTTGTCCTGGTTAATGCTCAGGTTCAGAGCCACGTTCACCAGAGCTGTCATGAGCTTCATGGCTGAGGACAGGTATGCAAACTCATTTTTTTAACAGAGTTTTAAAATATTTCTCTCTACTTCAGTTGTCTCAGGCCACTTTCACGCTGTTGTTTTTATGGAACCCGTTAAATATGACTAGACCTATTTAACCTTTATTGTTATTAAAATATTTTTATTTCATTATATTACGAAACTTAAACCAATTAAGAAATATATAGCTATAGTATTAATGCTGTTGAACTAAAATAAAAAAACAAGTATTTAATAATAATAATAACAATAATAATATCATCTATCCTTCAGAGCAACAATAAAATTAGTAAAATACTAATATTCATGGCTGTCTTCATTTCCTTGTTCATAGATTCTTAAATCATAGAACTTTTATTTTGGCAGAACTTTGTTGAAAACAGCTTTGCTTCATAATTGCTTCTAATTACAAATTTGGGTTTACCTGCCAGAGTGCTTGTGTGTCTAAAGGCTCGGACCTGTGAGTCTGACAGACCCGTGAGCAAAGAAATGACCGTGTCCATCATGTACTCGTCGTAGATGATGCTGTACTGGCACTGACGGATCAGGACGCAGATGAACTCACAGAAGTTGTAGCGAAACTTCTTCCACAAAGGGCCAGAAATGGTCAAAGGGTAATCGCCACTGTCCTGAATTAAAACACAAACAATTACCTACTCCGACTGGAGTTCAAAGGTCGTTCGACTACACTAGCTTCTGTGAATCCAGCAGAAAGGGTACCTCGTCAAACTCTTCTGTCATTTTGCGGATGATTTCGGCATTCTGCATGTTGCGAAACATTTCGATTCTGACAGTGCCTGAAATGAAAGATGATCAGTAATCACTATTATGAATGAATAATATATCATTATTATATAACATAATATAACATAAGTTATTCGTACCTTTACAACCAGAGCACTGGATGAAGAAGTTGATGAGGTCCAAAAGTGCTATATCTCTGTCCTGCTTGTACGACTCGATCCAGTCATCAACGACTGACTGAAAGATTTAGGGACAGCTGTGTCACTATTAACATAAACACAGCGGACGAGCTGCTAAACACTTGCTTTTTTAGCAGAACAATCTGGCTTAAGTGAGTCTGACATGGAGGTTGTAATAACTCGCACCTCCAGCTGTTACATATCCAGCATCTGCTCCTGATCTCAAACATTTGGAGACCAGCTATACATTTCACTCTTCATTTAACAGTGAAAAATTACACACCGTTTAATATTTTATAGTTGTTAAATTAATGTGCTAATGTATGCAATTAATTATACACTACTGTTCAAAGGTTTAGGAATTTTATGCTCATTTAAATAATTACAATTTTAAATAACTGTTTTCTATTTAAATATACTATAAAATGTCATTTATTCCTGTGATGAAAAGCTGAATTTTCAGCAGACATTACTTCAGTCTTTAGTGTCACATGATCCTTCATAAATCATTCTAATATGCTGATTCGGTAATAAAAACATTTATTATTATTACGAATTTTTAAAACAGTTGTGCTGCTTAATATTTAGTGGAAACTATAATACATTTGTTTTTGGATGAAAAGAATTTTTTTTGTTTTTAAAAAGAAATCTTGTAACATTACAAATGTCTTTACTGTAACTTTTCATCAATTAAATGTAGCTTTGCTCGATAAAATGAGTAATATCTTTTAAAAAATAACTATCCAATGGTAGTGTACAAGTTTAACACAATTACATTATTTAACACTGTAAACAAATGTATCTAATTTGACAGTATAATTCATTCTGTTCTGTGTAATTTCTATAAACTGACTAAAACCGATCAAATCTCGAGCACCGAGCATGCTTTACTCATTAAAAAAAATGACATTTATTGTGTATAATTTATTTATATATCAAACCCAGATGGGATATTTAATAAAAGTAATTTGCATTCTTTGTGTGGTGAAATGCAATTATAACTCATTAGACATGAGGCACCTAAAACCAGTTTAAGCTCATTTGCATGTTGATCAGTTTTCTCTTATAATTATATATTTGAGTTTTAATACCTGCATAGCGCTCTTTCCCTGTTTGACCACTTCAAACAGAGTACCGGGATCCCCCTCTCCATTCTGCGGAGCCATTCCATTGGCCTTCCGCCCCCGTGGGGCTCCCATTAAGCCCTTTTCTGATGGTGACTTCCGAGGCTTCTTGTTGGGAGCCTGGAGTCAGGGGGAATAAAAAATGCTAAGTTGCATAAAATGCTAAATATATTTATATTTCTGTGGTAAGTCAAGAAAACAGCTTTTGTGTGAGGCATACAGGTGGTCTGGCAGGCCTCCCTCTCTTCTTCTTGGCCTTTCCATCTCCAGGGTCGTCCAGCTCACTCATGCTCATACTGAGACTCACTGTGTCCTGACCCGACTCACCGGAGTCCCTGTGAGAAAAACACACCATGAACTCTGAACATCTGAGTCATGAAATTAAATAGTTTTTGTCCATCTGATGAAGTAAATTAAACACAAAATTCTGCTATTAAGTGTTTTGCCAGCTTAATTCTAAATAATTAATTTAATATTAATTAAATATAAATCAATTCTAAATACCCTTTCATGGTGGTATATTTTATATTAGAGTATAAATGCATTTTTACATGTCAGTACAGCCAATCAGCCAAATTATATTTAAAATATTTTTTATCAATAAATTGAAATCAATTAAAAAGATAAGTTGTGATTATTTTGAATTAAAACCGGATAATTAATTTGAGTCTGTGAGTTTTGATCCTGTCACACCACTTATTTACATAACAATAGTGAACTGTCCCTGTAAACGACATAATGAAGATGAAATTACTAGGGGTGTAAGAAAAAATCGATATACACTTGAGTATCGCGATATTTTATTTTGCAATACTGTATCGATTTTCAAAAACGCAATATCGATTTTTTTTTTAGTTTACGTGCAAAAATATTCATACTATTGCCGTGGTTCGCGTTTATGTTGTGTTTAAATCCCTACCACTAGATGGCTAGAATGAGACGCACCACTAGTGTCCTCGCCTACAGTGTCTATGATTTTGATTAATATGCGCGAGGGAGAGAGAGCAAGACAGCGCGCGTGTTGTTTGAAGACGTGAGAGTGCGCGCGCGCGGCCGGGGCGCTCTCTCTCTGTCTCTCTCTCTCTCTCTCTCTGCTCGTTTGCGTCCTGTCAAGCGCAGCAGTCTTTCTATTCTACATCACTCACCGATAAAAAAAGGCTTTGGCGGGACACAAATTTGTTTTGGCAGCCGCTAAAAAGCGGACGATTTGACGGGTTTTAAAAGATTAAATACAACCCGAAACTAAAAAACAGACCCCGCCTCTATTTGAGACTGGCCTTTATTTACCCAAACCTGTCGCCACTCGCCACATCAGGCGTGTAAAAGAGACCGGCGTCTATATGGGACTCGCTATTATTTGAAGTTTTACGGTATGTGTTGGATGTACCCTGTATGAATAATAGTGCAAGCATTTTTTTAATGACAGATTGCCCCTCAGATTGCACCTTATGTGTTATGCATTAGCCTAGATGTCACAGTAAGGGGCTATGTATTTTCTTTAACTGACTATTTATATATTTGTTCCTCAATGTTTCCTTTAGGAATTGGGGATATTCAAATTAATTAAACAATCATTAATACCATTGATCAGCCCTACCTAACGTGGATGTTTTTTCCACTAAGAAACAAACATTGTTATGTTATTTTGATTTATACTGTGAAGCTTTGATACAATTGTGAAAAGCGCTATATAAATATACTTGACTTGACTTGAATTGTGTTCGTGTTTTTGCAACACAAAACGTGTTGGATGTACCCTGTGTACTAGGAATAGTGCAAGCATTTATTTATTTTTATTGACATAGACAGATGTCTTTTCTTTTTTCAGATTGCACACATGTGTGTATGTTATGTATTGTGACAGGGGCTATGTATTTTCTTTTATTAAGGCCTACTTGAGCATATACAAATTTGCTCACTAAGAACCTGTGAACCACAATCCCAAACTGGCAGTTTGATTTTCTGTGTACTGAATTGTTTATCTAAAGTAAACTTGTTTGAATTTTATGCACATCATGTCTTTTTTTTAAATAATACTTTCTTAAATTGTAGTCCTACTTTAAAAAAATCGCAATATATTGCCTTATGCACAGTATCGAAATATATCGCAATATATTGAATCGTGACCCATGTATCGCGATACGTATCGTATCGCCAGATTCTTGCCAATACACAGCCCTAGAAATTACATAATTTGAGTCTTTAGAGGTGCCAAGTTCAAAAGTTACCCAGTTCTACTCTCATTTAACTCTCATACCCCCAGACTAGACTAGAATGCATGTTTGAGCTGTTTTATCAGAAAGCAAATTGCACTGACATGTCATAAAATATGTCAGTGCCATTGTTTTGTCTCAAGATGCACACCAGTAATGTTTTTTTTATAAGGCACGTATAAAAGCTACTTAAATGCCCTAACTGAACTAAGGCTTAATTCTGTCTTAATCTAAGCCCTGTCTATGAAACCGGGCCATTATATTTTGTTTATAAGCTTAAAAAAGATTAGTCAAGCATAAAATATTCACTGAATCACATAAAATAAACAGAAAAATATATTTTACTGTGCTCATTTCATTATATACATTGTTTATAGAGTTTTAGATGGCACATCACAATTTATTAACACTTAGAACGTTGTTGGTCAGACACAATGTTTTAGGCTAAATGTTTCAGAAATTTTCTATAATCACATTTGAGTAAGAGAAATCATGACATTGTAGTTGAACATATACTTTAGTTGTAGCTGAAGTTAACTCCAGTGTATGAGTGTAAATGAAGTGGGGACTTACTGTAGCATTGGCAGTTCTGAGGTGATCATGATGATGGAGGGGCAGGTCTGGTGTGTTACAGGTCTGGCGTGTGTGTGTGTGTGTGTGTGTGTGTGTGTGTGTGTGTGTGTGTGTGTGTGTGTGTGTGTGTGTGTGTGTGTGTGTGTGTGTAGTGCTCTGCTGAGATGAGCTCTTTCAGTGTGCTTCAGGTGCTGATGACCGTATTAACACTGCAACTCTGAGCCTGCAGGAGACAGAAGGGAAAAAAGCCTTAAACATTTGTTTGTGAAAACAGGTCTTTAGGCACTAGAAAAACATGCACTTTATTTATAAAATATTATTTCACCAACAAGATCTAGATTCCATAATTCATGACTTTATACAAAGCAAATATTTCTCATTTAAAAATGAGTGATTGATTTATATTGCATAAAACTAAAATACTGTGATTAATGCTACTTAAACACATTTGTATTGATGTCAAAGCCATGAACTTGACACATTGTTCAGGGTTTGTAACCTTGCAGAACTTTTGAAACGTTGTAATATGGACATGAAGTAAATGAAGGCTAAACACCGACACCAACTGGTCATTTGATGAACTGCAGCAGCACATCATTAACAGAGGTGTCAATCTACATAGTCACAGGGAAGAGCTATACAGATCCACACACATGTATTCTGCTTCAAATAAATAAATAAACCGAAAAAATTAACATCCATATTTGATATAATTGAGAAAAATATCTGGGTGATCTATTTTGTCAAGTTCAGATAATTCTCTTTTCTAATAAAATTAACAGTTTGATCTTTTTCAAAGGGTTAAATATTAAATGAATTTGTTACTGACTGGCCAAAAGTGAATTAAACCGATTCATTTAGCATGAAGCTTTCGCCTCACAAAAGCAACAGAAGACTAGAAGCGTCTGTTTGATTGTTAAAACAACACAGGGGCAAAATAATAAGCATTTCATTTAAAACATCAGTTAAACAGTAAAAGATTAAATTTTTGTGTGAATGTGCATGTTGTTCTGACTAAAGTTATCTATCACCACTAGGGGCAGTATGAACCATAAAGTACTTGACCTTTAATGATTCTTTGATGGCATAACAAAATGTGTTTCTGGAGAATTTCCGAACATATAAAAATTATAATTAATGTTCAGTTGGTTCTAAGAGACAGTACTGATCATAAACACGCTTTTAGACTGAGTTTTCTCTCACTAACAGAATGCTGAACTCCAGAGGATGTAAAGCACTTCTTGGGCAACAGTAGGGGGCAGGCTAAGAAAGTTTTCATTAAAATGTTCTTCACTAATGCTCAGATGAGAAATGCACACGAGTTTGATTCACACCATTACACTCTTTAGTTTGCCATATCTCTCTCCCTTTAATGCAGAAAACTCTCACAGTGATGCAAAAGGAAAACCAGGCCTGCCAATGATTTCCAGAGAAATATGTAGCTACTCTAAGGTGAAATATGTCACAATGGAAAAGAAAGTGAAATTGCATAAATCAAGTTATTCATCCCGACCATCACTATATGATATGAGTTTAAACAAACCTCATTGAAACATGCACTACAGGATGGGGATGTGAGTGTAAAGTGGTGTAAAGATGAGGTGAATATTATCCTCTTTTGACTGCCACTAGATGGCTGTACGCTGTAGTTGTCCTTGAGAACTCGGTTTTACAGGTGCGAGTCTGCTGTGAAGTTAAACTGAGTAACAAGGACAAAAACTCTTGTGTAGAGAGGCAAAGCTATGCATTATGTGAGCTTTAACAAGTAATAAGCAGTATAGATGTAGGTAAAAGTGTAGGAAAAGTATCTGGTTGTTGATATTTGACCCTGTAACGTCGTCCTCAGTGGCGTCGTGAACACATGGGAGCGCTCTAAATATGACCTCCCCTCCCCCACTGCCGTTAAACGCTCAACCACCACACAGCCACATTACACCTCACTGACACCACCGCAACACTGAGACAACTACAACACACACGCGTCTGAAAATAATCAGGGATTGAGGTGAAAATGCCACTGTTTTTTTAAACCCTGTAGTTAATTCCACTTTTAATTTCCCGTATTCTTCATAATTCTTGTTATGTAACATTAGATTTCACAGTATTCAATTCTAGGCCAATCTAGTTATGGGTTTTATAGATATTGTAGAAGAACACATGCCACCATAGAGGTGAAAGTATATTGCATATTGTAATTTAAAGGGACAGCAATGATTCATCATGAAAATGGACTTTTTTCTCCTCAACTTGTACACATGGAACACTGATCGTAACCCAGTAACAACTAAACAAAAAAATGCTACAATTTTAATGTTCTCATTTTCATTTCATTAGTTATTTTTCAGAGATGGTTAAACAGACAATAGTTTGTCTGTGGTAATAAAAATAAACAAACTAAAAAATACACAGCTTTTATTTCTAGTGTTTTTTTAGCATTTAAATTAAGATTATGTTAATAGAACTAAATTTATATAGTTTTAAGAACGACAGCAGCTCTTCTCGGAAGTTTGGAAGACCCCATAGTAGGCGCGGGCTCCTGGTTAAAATCCACTGTTTAAGGGACTGTTTAGCCTACATAAAACTGTTTTCGACTAAAAACAGAAAACTTTTTATGCATTTTGGCATACACGACAATGGCGTTTTAGGGGGCGGAAAATGTAAACATTTGAAAACGGGTTTCAAAGTGCAATTTTTTAAAAACAATACCGTTATTGTCAAAACGCAAATTTGTGAAAATGGTGATGTCATGTATTACATCAGTCTATAGACCTTATGCACCAGAGAAACAAGGGCGCCGCCATCTTTAGAATATTGTCTTTAAACTTCCATTTTTGCGGTCGCTCTGTATATCTCTATGGCATTGCTGTCCAGGAGTAATTAGCTTTTGAAGTGGATTTACTTAATGGAAAGTTATCATGAGGATTGTAATGTTTAAAGCAGATGTCTTAAAGCAACACTATGGAACTTTTCAACCTTCATAATATATTTCCAAGACCCTTGTGATGGTACATCGACTTACAATAGGTTAAATGACACGTCTGCCATAGCCTGACGTGGTCTGTATCGCTTTTACTCGCACTATGTAACACTAAGCACACTATGTAACACTAAGCACAAAAAGAACTACAAAACTCGACTGCTTTACGGCATACGTCACTTCCCCCACCACTTCCTCAAATTGTCTATGGCCATTGCAGACATCCCAAGTCTATAGCGTCTCCCTGATGCCCGCAAATTAGTTCAAATCTGCCGGAATCTAGAGCGCGCATGCGAGACAGAACATACTGCGCGCATAACATACATAGTGCGAGCACGGCAGAGAGGGAGAGAGCGAGAGACCTTGCGAGTGTGCCTCACGAAAGCTAGGCCTACATAAATCGCCAGGGGGGAGTCAGGTCAAGCGACCTGCATGCTATGGCGAGCGATCTCCTTTTATGGGCACAGACCAATCTGAGCTCATTGAGAGCTGCGCATATCCCTGGCCCCCAGAATTTGGGTGCGGATTTGCTCTCATGAGGCTACACTCCCCTCAGCGAGTGGTCTCTGAACTCACAGATGGTCAGTCTGATATGGGAGGTGTTTGGCAGAGCCGAAATAGACCTGTTCGCCTCGGAAGCCAATACACACTGCGAGATGTTCTTCTCGAAGAACAGGGACGCGTTGGCCCACACCTGGCCCAACCGCCCCCTGTACACTCCCCCCCCCCCCCCCCCGTCTCGATGATTCCACAAGTCATCAAACGGATCAGAGAGAGCGAGTGCCCAGTCCTCCTGGTGGCTCCTCTCTGGGAATCCAGACCGTGGGAGGATTAACCCCTCCAGACCTCCCTCTGTGCCACCATGGGACCTTTCCACGGTCCTGGGGGCTTTGAAGGGTCCACCCTTTGAACCGCTCCAGTCGGTTGATCTCAAACCTCTCTCGCTGAAGACCGCTCTTCTGTTAGCATTGGCATCTATCAAGCGAGTAGGTGATTTGCAGGCTCTCTCTGTGAGCCCGGCATGTCTGGAGTTTGCTCAGGATAACTCTAAGGTCATCCTCAAGCCCAGGCATGGGTATGTGCCCAAAGTGCTCTCAACACCGTTCAGAGCACAGGTGGTGAAATTATTGAGTCTTCCCCCTTCTACTGAGGATGGGGAGGTTAATCTTCTCTGCCGTGTTAGGGCGCTGAGAATTTATCTGGAGCGTTCTGCGTCGTTTAGACAACGGAGTCTGGGTTTATTAGTGTGGTATGGTGGCGGTTACTGACTTAGTACTTAGTTAGTATTATGGCTTGTTCTGTTTGCTCAGGGCTCTGAGTTGCAGTGGCAACCAGTTATTCAGTGCGGCGTTTTGCATAGTGTTCCCACTGTGTATAGCTACGCAATACGAAGTGACCGTTCGAAAGGCAACTACTTGGTTACTCACGTAACCTCAGTTCCCTGAGTTAGGGAACGAAGTATTGCATAGCCGGCCGCACTGCATTAAACTGGCTAGTTGTCGCTTCAGTCGTATAAACCTGCTATAATGGCGAATTCAGGGACTAATATAGGCTGAGGCCACGCCCCTTGACGGGCGCCATTGGATGTGCAGTTGCTGCAGCACAGCCTATGAGCGAGCCAGGCGCTCTGTGGGCTAGCTGTGCAGCTGCAAATGCGTTTTACATAAAGGTTTCAGTAAATCAGGAAAAAGGAGTTTTCCCACTGCATATAGCTACGCAATACTTTGTTCCCTAACTCAGGGAACTGAGGTTACGTGAGTAACCAAGTAGTTATTCCGCATTCACATTGTTCCAGCAAGATGGAGGCCAACTGAATGGAGGCATTGAGGTGTATTTTTAAATAGAGATCAATATTCTCAGATCATGAATTATTGTAAAACAGAAATAATGATACCGTGTGGTTGAAAAGTGTGAAGCTGTTTCATACTACTACGTGACAACTGCTCTCTCTGGCTCAGCGGCAGCCAACGCTGATCTAAATGTTAGCTGTGATCGCACTTATCAAAGGTTTAATAGACATAGCCAAATCGCTGACATTTAGATTGTCTGAATCGAAATTGCGACCTTTCAATTATTAATCGTGCAGCTCTATCTTACACTTTTTAATGCCATCTTAAAATCTTAAAAAGCGCGGATAAAACGAGGCATGATGGAAGATGTCCACATTAAATAAAATGCCAAAACAACCAATAAAGGCCTTAAAGTCCAGAGAAAAACTGGGCAACTGGGCAAAAATTTACAATTTA